ATTTCACGAAACCTGTTTTTGTTTGGAGCATCGTGCACTTAATTCTGTACTTTGTGTGCATTCGCAGGCTTGAATCACGTGGGCGATTATCACACGCGAAAGGATTGCAGGACTCTTCGCGGTAAGGTACGGTAGTTTGCGTATCGCTCGGCAAAATACGGCGGGAGTAAAATAATCTGGCCTGGGACGATTCACTGAATGGACCTTTTACCACGGAAAATTCTTTCTATAATTTACCATTTCAAAATTTTCGGTGCTTAGTTTAAGAGTGTTTCGCGAGTTGGTACCTGTAAAATGAGGTATTTGTTTCTAACTATCATTCTAATTCATACCATTCAACAATCTGTTGATTCGCACTCTCGTACTTACGAAAATAAAAAGGGCATACTACTATAAAATATCACGACAATCGGCGAATATAAATTTTCTGGTAGCCAGCTTGTAGGTAACGGTTATCCCATTGTTTATTCTATGCTAATTACGCCATACAATAAGATAATCTTGAATTTATTCTCGAAGTATTCGAAATTTCTCATTCGAAAAAAATATTTTCGAATGTATTCGAAATAGTGAATTATTCGGTAATGGCCATCCCTGGCTGATGGCAGGGGTTCAATTGCGCAGTAAATATTCGAATATATTGCAATGCAAAAAGGAAATAAAATTCATATTCTATTCGAGAGATTCATCAATGCTTTATTCTTCTGAGAATGTATCTTTTGCGAACAAATATTTCCGAAAATGAACATTGCAAAGAACAAGCAAAGAACTCGGATTAGTGATGCCTTTTTCGAAAATGTTCCAATCTTGGCGTCGTGAAGCTGTCAAGCGTGATGCAGCAACAAGACCGTGTCACCTTTAATGTCATTGTAATAATTTTTTGATAAGACGACTGAGTTGAATTCCCAAATTGTCGCAGTTTTTGCGCACTTTTCCGTTTTTAACTTCAAAAAATTACAAGCGACACGCAAAAAACTAGCAACCCTAAATTTTGTCCCGCGAGCGACATAAAATTTGCCGACAACTGGGCCGTAGCCTATAGTCGGTCACGACTTCTTCCACATCCGAGTCCATACATTCAAAAACAAATGGCTGATTAATTCTGTGGACTGGAGATCGTGGTAGGATGAGGAATCGGGAATGAAGGTCGTAGGAATGAATTAGATCGTAAATATAGATTAGATGTACGAAAATCATTATTATAAGTTATGGAAAATTAACTTTGTTTTCATTATTTTAATGTGAAATGGGGTGAATTTAGGGAGTAAAATGCTATAAGACAAGAGTACACGGCGGTTTTTGAGGAGGTAAAACCCCGAATTCTTTCATTTCCGACCTATTATATGGTGAAAAGGGGGGTTTCAGCCGTGCTACTATTGCTATCAAAACAACGAAATCGCCTTTTTATCAGTAAAACTCCCTGAAGAACACCAAGCTCATCCACCTCATTAAAATAAACTATGAATTGTCTTCTTTTCTGGTCTGTAATATATTCGTTTCTGACTTTACATTTTTCTGTAGTGCAGGGGGGGGGGGACCACTGCAGTATAAATTATGCAATATGTAAATCCTATCCTATAAACAGGATTCAAAATCAACTATGTTAAAAAGATTCTAAATATAACTATTGGCTTCTAAATTCTCAATACAAAAATTCCGTTTGGCATTGGAATTTATTTGGCATAAAATAAAAACATACCACGCAATCAGGCTAACATATTTTAGTTGTAGGGACTGTAAACGTGTGGAATCAACATATTAATGTAAGTGTTTCTATATTCAGATTAAAGAGTTTGACATAGCAGTAACTGTAGCCTACTCTTCAACTTTATGAAGACAGAAATAATTACCATCGTACCGGTACCGATACAGCGCTGCTGTTTTAAATTATTTACCTCATCTTTCCAATAATATATTATTTAATTATAATATTATATATAATAATTATTTTAGCCCCCAATTTTTACGAAATTGACTTTATAGATAAATCGACAGGTAAAGGCAAACACTACGGCAGGGGTCGGCAACGTACGAGTAATATAATCCGGCCCGCGTCGCTTTACTGAATTATAGTAACAAAACAGCTGTTTTAGCGATTATATTCTCTACGTAACAGAATTTATTGTGAGTCACGTGTAGACCAAATTATATTATAAACTAACAAGTATAAGATTCACAATCACTCGCTTAATGAAAATATAATTTAAATATAATCAGACGAATTGCAACAAAACGCAGAAAAGATAATGCTAACTGCAAAGGGTTCAATGGTGCCGAATATTGAAATGTAATAATTTGAGATGCAATGCAATGAGAAAATAAATCTACATTTTCTTCGAGAGATGTATCACTGCTTGATTTTTATCATAAAACGTATCATCCGTTCGGTTATCAGTTTCTAAAAATATGTGCGGCCCGCCAATGACTTACAACCCTTAATTTTGGCCCGCGAGGGACAAAAGGTTGCCGACCCCCGCACAACGGTATTGTGGGACCACCAATAGCGCAATTGTTTGTTTAATTATTATTTACTACGTACCAGTAGTATGAGAAATTCTCATAACTGAAGCTAGATTTTGAGATGAAGATAATCTGAATGGTTAAAACATCAGGTTAATGGTGCTGTATTGACTTGATGAATAGGATTTTCAAATTTATCCCGGAGAAGGAAAGCCGATTAGGCGGCTTAGTCATGTACCGGTACCGAACGGTAGGTACGGTACCGGTACCCCGTAATTAACATAGGCCTACCGGTACGGTAACGGTGTATGTATGGCGGAAACAATGCGGTAAGTGTGTAAGTTAATCTGGACAATCAGAAAGTTGGGATTTATGCAACTAACTGACAAAATTTGAATAATTAATTCGGAAAACCATACCTATCATATTCATGATTTCGAATTGGCGATTTGAAATTTCGCAAAAAGTTGGAACAATTTTAGACGAAAATAAGAATATAGTCTATCTGTAGGCTATATATAAACTTTCAGACTTTTGGTTCTGCCTAAATGGACTTTAAAAGTTGAGACTCTCAGGGAAATACAAACAAGTGATGCCAATACTTTTATTTATTGCAAAAATGGCTCCTGTTCATTTTAAATATATGGAATCTTGATTATTATTAGTTCTCATATAAAACCTGTAAAACAGTTTGACTGCCTTCAAATTTTCATGTACTGATGTAGCAAGTACCGGTACCGTAGCCTACACATGTTCCATCAATCGTTTGTTTTTGCACTTTTTCCAATCAAATGTAATTATTGCCCGATGTTCAAGTTTGAATTAGGCATGACATTCTGGCATCTTTTTTCCTGTATTCAGTTATTAGGTACCATATTGTTCCCCCGCTTGTCCTCAGTCACTCAATTTCAAGCAATGCTTATTATAACAGTACCGTATAATTCCTCCAATTTAGATGATTTGTCTCTTCTACCCCCACAATAATGTAAAATCTGGGACAAGTAAATATTGAAAGTCAAATGTGACTTCAGCAGACTTGAGGTCACATGAAACTGTGAAAGCAAATTTTTCAATTACCGAATTATGCTAAATGTGCCAGCCGCCAACTAGGGTTGGAAATTGAATAATATATGGCAATACAGCAATCGGAATATAATCAATCAGTGTTAACATCCATATTGCTTAATTAAGCTATAAGTTGCCTGGATAAGGAAGTGTAGATAAATGCTCCTGAACAAATCCTATTTTGTATATAAAGTGTCTTGTCTTTGTAAAATGCCCTAGTTTCCCGAATTGGTAGAAATGGGTGAAGAGAATAGAGGAACTAGATTAGAGTGACATAAATCAATGTGCATCAGTTTATGTCAGAACAAAATTATGCCATTCCAATACATATATCTGTATATGTAACAATCTTGAAATTCTGAAATGCATTCCACTGATTGCATGTCATTAATACAGTAATAGAAGTTTCCAAAAGCAAGGCAATTTATCTGTACTTGGCTGGGCAGTTTGGTATAGACTGGTAACCAGAGGGGAGGCATGGGTTCACCATATGATTGAGTCGTCCTATCGGTTTTTCTCGTAAATACGTAAATCCTATCCTTCTATACGATATAACAAATTTTCCTCCTTATTATGATTCCAAAAAGAGGAAAATTGATAAATATGGGTATTTTTCTAAAATGTTTTTTTCTACGAAGGGCCAATATTAACTAATGTATTTCCTCCAATATACAACAGTTTGAAGCAATATTCATTGGAGCATTTCATTGAAATGTTACAGGACTTCAAAATAGAATCATTCCCTCGTTATTCTCGAAACAACTTTTATCAAGTTCACCCTTCGCCTTGAACACCTCAATTTCAATGTGTCTTTGGGTGCTCTACCTAGTTCAACTACATATTTCAACAAGTTACAGTCATTGTTCACAACAAAATTCATTTATAACATATACCTATATAATAAATGATACCGATAATTAACGATTATTTGAATAAGACTATCTATTACTCCCTCTCATCTCTGTGACCCAATTAGCCTTTACCTTTTTTTCTTGATGTTCTGTTTGCGGAAAATTGGTATTTGAAAACTATATTTGGAAATTTTTTTTTGTAGGCATTCATTAAGAATTTTTTTGTTTTGAATTTCTCATGGCTTGGCCTGTACTCCATATTCATTAAAATGGTTTTGCCTCCTTTTGTATTGGAGTCAAAATAGAATTGTTGTATTAAGGAGTATCTCCATTTAGTAGAGATTTCTGACCATCGGTTAAACTGTGGTATTATTTGTATTGGGATATTTCACAAACAGGCAGTTTTACTTCCACCTCGAACCTCATAAATAAAAAGCCTAGTTTTAATGCTTTTGCGACCAGAAAATAAAACACTTTTCCACAAATGGGGGTGTTCCAATTATTACTTTTGGAATTTGATGGAGGTAATTAGTTAAAAAAAAATTAGACTGACTGACTCAATTTTTCTTATTAATTAAGTTGAATCGTCACACTAGCACCAAATAATTGCTCTTTTCTTCTTTTCCTTGTGACTGCACTCAGTAATAATAAGCCATTTTAGTATATTGTACAAATGGAATATTGGTAGGAGGTGGGAATAATAAACAACTTGGACTAATTAAATTTGTAAGTTGTTGAATCGTTCAACAAAATGTCATCATCCGTTATATCGTCACCTTCTCCACCTGTCAGTGACAAGAATGAAAGAAGATCGCAGAGTCCACGGATCACTTGCACTGCTCATGGATGTAATCAGGTGTGATCAGGTTTAGTGTTCATTAATAGTGATACAATTTTCAAGTTTGAGCTTGGCACTACGTTGAACCATTGGTATGGTCCAATTTTATTTTGTCGTGGATTGGAAGTCAGATCTATGAAGCCTATGAAGTTGGGGAAGCTTGAGCCAAGCATACTCTTAAATGGAGCCGGAGCTACCAACAATTATAGTGCTACAGTTCCCAATCATCAAATAGAGAAATTTTTTTACATTCCTAATTTTTTAAAGATTCATAGTACAAATATTAAATCTATCTTTTTCAACATATGATTTTTTCTCTCGAGCTTTTTTTTTGCACTGAAGTTATCCTAATGGACATCATATGGTGCTATAATAAAATTAGTTTATATTCGGGTTACAAAATATTTACAAATTACAATTTACGAAATTGGAAATGATCAGGGTTGGGCAAATTATAGCCCGCGGGCCAGATCCGGCCCAACGAAGTGTTTCATCGGGCCCACTTGTGTCTGAAATCATGAATATAGTTTTATGATTAACATTCTGTTAAAAAGATTGATGAAAAATAACGTCATAATGACCCCAATTGTTACATTGTGTTTTTCACTAATATATAAATGTTAGCCTAGCTTTTGTAAATATACTGCTTTTTATTCATAGTTTTCCATATTGATTTATGAGCCTCTGGCCCAGTAATCAAGTCTATTATCCGTAGATGGCCCACCCCTGGGATAGATGTATGGCCCGATTGCTGTTTCAATGACCTCAGTAGACTGCTATTGGAATATAAGAAAAACAGCAGATTTGGTTTATAGTGCAGATACATGGGAATCACGAACAGTCAATTCAGTTTTAATAATCTGAAAAAAATTTACATTCAAGCTGTCAAGCTAAAAAGAGTTTTATTCCTAGTTACTGGTAAGCCAGAATTATTCAACAATTAAATATGAACTCAACTGACAGTGGATGGAAACATATAATAATAAGATATTATGGAATTTGCATAACATTTAACATTTCATACCTGACATTTTGACCAAGTATCCTTATTAGGTCATAGCTAAAAATACCTGAGGAATGTCATCACAAATAGAAATTTACCTAAGATCTTATCAAAGTTTGTTATGCATTATTTCTCATGTCGTTAGGATAGGTGATAGGAATGAAAAAGTAGGCCTATATGAATTCTTTTCCTATGTACAAGGTAGGATTTTTTGATTATTATATATATAATATGGGCAAATAGTTGTCAGTTTAGGTTCAAGGTGGTATTGTGATATAGGAATTTGATATGCTCCATTTGTGTTACATGACAAGGCTTAGTTAGCTCTGACAATATCATTTTTTGTTCTTATTTATGCATATAGCACAATTTTTTGACACAAAATGTCTTGAGTGTAAGTCTCAGTTATGATTGTATGATTTACGGTAATAAGGAGATACAAAATACAGAATTAAATATTGTCATACTTCTTTTGTTTTTGTTTTTCTAATGGTTTTTATGGTTTTTAACATGATTTTATTTGAGAAACGTCACATAATAACTTAGAAATTTGACATATGTAATACTTCCTTGCATTCACAATTGTTTGAGATAAAAATGAATAGCAGTGAGAAATTTTAAATATCTAATTCATCAACCATGATCATGCTTAAATGGGTGGTTGGCTGGTTGCATATGTATGCCTTCTCAGTGCCAGTTTTGTGATATTAGTTTTGTTTTGAAAATAAGCCTTATTATCAATTTATTTGAATATACTCAGTTTCTATTTCTAGTTTATTTTCCAAACAGAGTTTATATCCTGCTTAGTGTGTGGCATTCATGAAAGAGGGCTATATAATGCAGTTTATCTTAATATTTTTACGTAATAAAAATAGTTTCTAACAGATTATTTACCCTATTTGTCTTTAAATTTTTAATTACACTGATCTAAGGAAGTAGCAATTTTTGTTATCAATGAGTCAGCCACAACCGAAACTTGGCATGGTATACAAATTGACGAAATTGTGTTTCGTAGTTGACATCTGCTGTATTAGTACGCTTAACTATGAGAGATATATATCAATAAAAATATTCCATTTATGAAGGATGGATTTTTTTGATATTGTGGCATGCTGTGTATTTATAATATAATGAATGTGCATTTCATTGTGTTGTCAAATTTTTTGCTTCACTTTTCTAGTGATATCAATGTGTATGTTTGAATAGGGGTTCTGAAACTTTTCTTTGTGATTCAATTAAATGTTAAATATATTTTTAATAAATCTGATAATAATTTCCATGTCCAAAATGATAAATTATAATATTCAAACAGTAATTATTACAATTTGAATAATAAATATTTGAATATCATCAATTTAAAGCTATGTGCAAAATAATGTCTCTAAATATCTCTATTGTTCCCCTTGTCATATTGTGTCAATCTGTATCCTTCACACTCATCAATCATAAATTTTTGACGTAATTAAGAAAAAATGAGAAAACGTTGTTCAGTATTAGATTTATCGATACCCATTGTACATTGAATTAATTCTTCGAAATTCTGCAATGTTTTTTATAATTACCTCCACTTTGTTGGATATGTCTACAATAATGACAAAGGGCAATTATGTTCTGGATGTCCAAAGATATTTCGATATACTTGTGAATATGTCAAAACCATAATTTTAGCTTTAATTTCATTTTTAAGGGTATAACAGTGTTATCGGTGTGCCTAATTAATATTTTGTTTTCAGAGCTTTTCAAGTGCAAGTGAGCTAGCAATTCACAAGCAGAAACATCAAATGACTCTAAAACTAGGGCCATCAAGAACAGGACTCGCGGACATGCTTCCTTTCGGTGGGTTTGTATGTAGGACTATACGGACTATTCAAAAATTTTATATTCCCATTTTTTAAATTCAAATCTCTAATTTCAAAATTTTCAAGTAAAAATGAAGTTGATAACTGGTTGATCTTTTTTTATTTAAAATTTCCACTGTTTTCTTTATCTTAGATCAAACTCCCACACCTACAAAGTTCTTGCAATATGGAAAAGAAACTGGTCTTTTTGACGAAATTAGTAATCCGTTTGATAATGAGTTTAAAAGGAATACGACACCTGGACACAGTCTGAAAGAGGTTTGTTTCATTAATTGCCATATTATTTTACTTCATTCTGATACCAGACTTAATTATGGATAAATTATATCTTAGTTTATGTATTTAAGAAAATATATTTTTCAGTTTTTTTGGGGGGAAGTTCTCAGCTGTCCATTTTGATATAAATAAATAAAGTGTTTTGTGTTGGTATTTTTTTGTTTGGTTTAAATGTTCCAACTCTAGCTCTATTTTGATAAGATTGTTTCTTTAACTTATTATTTTTTATTTCAAATTAGTATAGTAAAGTGTATAGTCATACTTTAAATTACTGTACTCAATAACCATTTTTGAATCAATCACATTTGTGACTCAGATTTTGGAGGGATCAAGTCTCGGTCTGATTGGTTTAAAAACTGTCTAAAAGATGGGAGAATTAGTTTTTAGATTTTTGATGATCATTTGTAGTTTTTTCTTAATATTGGCTGTAGTGGTTGCCTAAGTAATGTATCATATAATGAGGTCTCAAAATGAATGTATCCGATATAACTTCATTAACAGTACAAATAATCCATCTCATTTTTTTTTATTTTGTGCCAAAAGTCAACCCATTTTAGCACCTAAAAAATATTTGCTAAAAGATTTACTAATTTCGCCCCAAAATATTGATAAATCTAGATAAGCATCTTTAACTTGAGGGAATTTTTGCTTGCTATTGTAAAATGACTTATTCATCGTGACAAAAGACACTCGATAAAATGTAAAAAGGACAAACTAAGGATGTCATTGTAAGATGAAGTCTGACCAAGATTAATTTACAATGAAATAATTTTGATAGTTGATATTTGATACCTATAATGAATTCTTTACTTATCAACTTGAAAACTTTCCTCCTGAGCAGAATACATGAATATTATTACTTTTATGAATAAATTGCAACATTTATTTGTTCCAATAGATTGATGGATATCAGGTTAGAGATGTAAGCTTATACAATTTAGTACAATTATTTTATTTTGATTATCAATTGAAACAATCATATATAAAAATTAGCTTTTGGTTGATAATCCAATTACAATTTTCATATTCAATTATATTGTCAAATAAAATATTATATACTTAATTAGTTTTTCGATTTTTAATAGCGTAGAGTATTAGCCTGGCGAATGTCAATAATTGCATTCCAGATTAGAGAGTTTTGATTTGATTTTAATTTCAGTCAAAAGTCTGGATCTTGAATTCCTCTGGCTTTGGGCTAAACTACTATCACTGACACTTTTTCGTGACACTCTAAACCCAATTCAAATTCTCTTAAGTAACTTTGGGAAGTGAATTCAGAAACTAAGAGTCCCCAAGAAATAGGGGTAAACCCCCTTGATCAACTCATCATTCTAGGCTAGGCTACAGTTTTCTCTCTACTTTAGCTATTGTCTCGCCAATTTGTAAGGAATTAAAATTTAAATATTTGAAATGTCACTAATAGCACTACGCACAATCGTCAGATGACAGAATTGTTATTTACAGAATATTTTCTAAAAAATACATTAATCAATGGCGTGTTTGAAATGATTTATATCCATACTATGACCAAGTATACACCATGCATGAAAATCATAATTTCTTTGTAGTTTCATGTGACCAAGCGTAACATGTGGATAGTATTAATTTACAAATGGGTAATGTCGGTGATCATATCAACATCAACAACTGTAATTGAAAAGAGTCAGGAAATGTGATTCCAGTCACCTATTGTGTTATCTTAATTTCATATTGAATGAGAGAAACCAATACCCAATTGATGACTAATATTTGTCAATTTTTTTTAATAATTTTTAGAGTGCTTTTAATTTGTTGAGTTGTAGGCTAGATAGCTTAATTTGTACCACTCCTCTGTTGTAGGTAATTCGTGGTATATGTAGTATACCATAAGCGGTGTTACTTATTTGGGATTCATGAGTTTATTCTATAAAGATATGTATTGATCAATAATTGTATAATTAATTACCATATTTTTATCATCTAAATAATAATTTTTTAGGCAGGAATATAATAATAAATATGAATTATAATACGAATGACTTTTTATTTTCCTGTCATAAAATATGGGAAAGAGGAAGCAAGTCATCCATAAGAACCTTTTTTACTTTTCCCATTTATTGAGAACCATTAATAATAGTAAATAAAAGCCTACTATTGGAACATGCTGAAGTATCGCTTGATAGTTATCAATAAATTCGAAACCTGGTGATTAGTTTTCAAGTAGAAATTACTTTTGCTCTTTTTGAACAGCAATATATACCGTAATTGTAATTTATTCAATATGCAGAAAGCAAGAAGGTCAGCCGTACCAGGACTCATAATCAATAACCAAAAAGCAAAAACACCTACGAGTTTTTCCGTATCAAATCATATTGGACTTGCTCCTGTGGCGGTAAGTAACTGTGACGAAAATCTTGAATTGTAACCATTGCCCTCGGCCTGTTATATTGATACATATAAGCCATTTTTTTTATTGTACTCTTCCTCAATTTGTGTTTAGGGATGTCTGAAGTGAATTGAATATCCGAATACATTCAAAATAAATTGGATACATTCTATATAGGTCATTTTTGATTTTATTCATAATCTAGAATATTTCCATTCAAAATAAAAAAAACTATGATTCTGCATTACTGGTCTTCTTACCAAGCCAGTCTTATATAGTTGTAAAATACTCAGTTAAACATCTCTTTAACTTTTTTTAAATTATCAAATCAATTTTTATAATACTATAGATTTATGTATGCCCTCTATTGAATATGATCCAATATTCGATACTCCATATTCAAAATTATTATTTCAGAACAGATAAGGTGAACAAGTTTTGACCATTGCTGCTTGTGTTTTGATTGAATTTTATGTTTATACACTCAGTGTACAAAGATTGGCTCCACACAAAACACTGTAAAATTTTAGATGATTCTAATTAATGTTTGTATTCATTTATGTCTAGCAACCTGTCCATGTTATCACATTAACGCCAACGTTGCCTTCACCTGTCGGTGCATTATCCGGAGCACCTTTTTTTATTCCACCACTGCCTTCACCACAAACCTTCTTACCAAGTCCTGCTGCATTAATCAGTCCGTCAATTGTTCCATTTTCTGCCCGTAAGTATTGATAGCCTATTTATTATATATTTTCTTTTTGATAAAACACAAAAATTTACTTATTCATCTAGTTTTTGATGACCCGAAGCAATGTTTGATGAAACCATTGAATTTTTGTTGTTGTAGCCAGAGTTTTGCAGGTCGGAACCCTCACCCCCACGAGACCCTTAAGACTCGAAAACACACCCGCTAGCAGTAACGGCCCAACTCAGAACCCCCCTTCGAAAATTCCTGGCCTAGTTCCTAATCCTAGTTCTTCTATTTAGAGAACTTGAGTCACTCAGAGTCTTTGTTAAAACTCAAGTCGAGTCAATGGCTCAAGCCTCCCAACATTGTTCCAAGTGAACAAACTCAAGTTTACACTATTTTTAAATATGAATAACCTTGAAAGTTGGTCTCTTAAAATAAAACTCATATCTATTTTTGTAATTATTATTATTAAAAAAATATAAAAACAAGAATGTAACATTTTCCACAATTGTATTAGGCTACTGGACTGAACAATGCAATAACATTTGTCACAAGCATGGTTACTTCCACCTGAAATCATCTTATAAATATTCATGAATTGTTGGAGTAATTCTTATCCATAAGTCATGGAGTAAAGTGATGAGTCATGCGTGAAAATCATTGTTCCTATGAAATGCATATTTGATCAAAAAGATCATCCTTTAACTTGAGGTATGAGGTATCAGTAAAACTACCTAGGGCTATGATATTATAATAGACTTTATTATCTTATTTTGTAATATGGTAACAAATTTGGTTCCAGACCTGACCAAAACCAATAAAACACTACTTCTAGATCAATTCTGATGACAAATATTCATTATGTCAATAGTATTTTTTTTTAATTTCGGAACTCGTCCTTCAAAAATAAGTTTTCATCCAACAAACTCTGTTAGCTGTGAGCGCAAAAGATTATTTCAAAAAAATTCAGTTATGTGAAATTTACTACCTCATGGCTGTCTTTCTGATCGGAATGACATGAACGACGCTCCAGATGAATGTACCAATATGGAGGTAACTAATTTTGTTCGCCTATTTTACATCAAGTTGTGTGAAGGGACTGAAATCAATGGGCAGGGGGTATATTCACTTGGCTATCACAGACAGTCCCCGAACTCGTAGTAGAACTAAAATAAGGAGAATCGGAATAAAATTATGGCCTAACCCTAACCTGGTACACACTCTACGGGAGTACCACATGAACTGTCTTGTTATAACCGATATTTGCAAACATGCAATTCCGCACCATAATTCATTATCAATGGTCTCAGTAGTTCTTGGCAATTCAGTGATAACCCCACGATTTCGCTTAGAGATCAATCTCCTTTATTTTTGAATGAGAGCCGTGTGACCTTACTTTGAGCAAATTTCCTTAAAATAATGCCAGCTTTTTACCGCTATTTGAAGCTTTTATTTTATTTGCTTGTCTAATTTAATTTTCAATGACTAAGATGACAAGACTACAAATGGAAATATTTATAAATACTATAAAAATGTTATATTTACTCCATAGTCTATTCATTTTCTCGGTTTTCATTCATTATTATAACTAAATTTCTGCTAAAACTGAAAAAGGGAAATTTACCATTTGGAATGAATGTCTTCAAAATTTGGGAACAACTACTGATCAAACATTTAATAATTTCATTAACAATAAAGTTACCTTAGGTTTTCTGAATGGATTTATACAAATTTTACTTATTGTTAGTTTATTTCGATAGGTTAAGATTTCCAAAGCAATATTGCTCCTTTTTTCGCTGATCATCGTATCCGCTTATTGTAATTATTTAAATAATCTCAAGCTCAATGGTTATTTAAAAATGTCCATTTTAAACAACTCTTGTGAATCATAATTTGCAATTGATCGAAGGTTTTTAATTTTTGAATTTGGTTTCAATTATATATCGTTTCACATCAATAATTGAATTATATTTTAGTGATGACAGAGCAGTATTTACTATATGAGTTGGTTCGTGTGGTATGACATTACTTGCTTGACATTTCTTTTTACTAGATAGGCGGTTTTGTACATCCGAATAATGCGACTCAATTTATGGTATCATAGATAGTATCAGATGTCTTTGTTTGTCGAAAATGCTTGTTTGATTGCGAAGACAAAAATCATTTCTAATAATACCTGATTTTAATGTCGAGTTTTTTTATGTCAATGAAATCATAAATTTAAATCATTATTACATATTCGAAACAATTTTTATTTTATTTCTAAAACTATCACAAGTTTATAATTAATATTTATATCATGTGTTTAGGGCTCATTTTGAAAAATTTTATTAAATTTGATTTTGAATCTCTTAGATTTTGTTTTGTCTTGATTAATTGTAATAACTCTAAAAACATAAAGGTGAATATATGAGTTATATGCTTATTATAATTTTGTGAAAGCCACGAAAAACTAAGGAAACATATTTGTAACAAAAATCAATTAAAATCAAAATTTTGTAAAATTTTTATGAACAGGATTATTGATATGTTAGTAATTCATATGTATGAACATTGTTCAGTTCTCGTTCATACAAATACCATAATCCAAGTACAGAATAATATATCATTTACTTTGAAATGGACTTATAAGTCGAAAGACTTTACCCTTGTATTCGAAATTAATAATTGCTGTATCCTGAACATTTTGGTTGAATTTGTGTTAAAACTTTACAGTCTGATATATAAAGTACAATTGTTGTAATAGTTATCAAACTTTATAAATAATTTCTATATCGCACCATAATCAGAGAATTTCCCATAAATTACTTTTTCGATATATATGTGCGTTCAAATTATTCTAAAAAGTCGCCAAAGAGTTTATCTACTTTCTCTGATAATACACTGTTGTTATCGGGAATAGCCCAAGGGCTGCTGATTTGTGTTTAGTGTTCACAACAATTTTGTTCTTGATTGTACAAGATACGAAACAAATCACAACATGACATCTACAAGAACAGATCACAAATAAGAATTTCTAGAAGTGTTTTTATTTTTTTTCAGACGTGTTATTATGTTGTCGGAAATAAGTATGTTAAGTGTATATCGGTGTATATATAAGTGTATATACAAGTTTAAATTAATCATCATTTAGTGAAAACATAACATTTTGGCCCCAACACAATAATAAATGACCTATATTTTTTACAATTTTCATTTGATACACATTTTTTTCTTCATAGAAATTGATTCTAATAAAGACAACTCATGATATTTCTCTCATTACGATAAAATTGTTAATATAACCATAAACCATCTTGTAGGAATAATTATGGGGCAAGTGGTGAATATTAAAATTGGCAATAAAAATTAATATGGAACCATGGGGACTATTTTGAAAACTAAGATGTATTGAAGACAAATCATTTTTGATCAAGATCTGACTCTTGAGTTTAAATATACAAAATAGTCTCTGCAACACTGAGCAATGCCGATATGTCATTGACATTGAGAATATCGTTTTTAAAATTTCCTTTCTTCTAGTTTATGTCATCTCTATAATCATTTGGTTTGCGAGTTTTATCATTGTGAATGTGAACTATTCGGTATAAATGGCCATGCCAACAATCTGGCTGTTTTCAATCTTGCTTGTATGTATTGGCTAGGGCTAGATACATGTGCAAAAAAATGTTCTGCAAGAACCATGCTGTATATCTTTCTATTGATTTATGACTCGTTCACTTTTTCGCGTCCGATTTGTTTTGACTTTTGAAGGAAGTGCCTATTGATCTTAAGTATCCTGCCCACCCTTAGTTTGCTACAGTACTTTTGACATGTCATATTGAGATACCTACGGTAGTTCATCACTGTCGGTTTCACCTTTCAAGATGTTTAACCAAGGTAAGAAGGGTCATTGCTTATGTTTTAAAAATTACTCGATGCTCGGAAATACATTTTGGTAATTTGTGAACTTTTTTTTTTATAAATGGTAGCATTAGAACAAATTTTAATTTGAATTAACATCAGGGCTCATTATTTGAAATGTTTATTTCAGAAGGTTGAGAAATTGTATAGGAAGAAAATAAACTTTAGAATAACTCTATATGCATATTGGAAAAGTCAAACAAATTCACTTGCTTTTCAACGAACTTTAAATATTTTTAGATTAATATGGTTAGAGTAGAGAATGAGGAACATTTTAAATTGAAGTATTTTGTCATAGACATGCCATGACTACACCTAACTATTGAATGGATTGAAATTTACCTAATTTAAAAACTGTCGTGATCAATTTTGTGATTTTTTTATTATAGTTTTGTCTTTTGATAGGCTTACCTTACTTTATGGACCATCTGTTTGTTCGCATGTATTATAATTGTCATTGTGTAAAAAAAATTTTATGCAATTTCTTGTTTTGATAAATCTAGTTTAAATTTGGCAAATGTCCATTTTTACTTTATAGAAAATGGTGAAATATCTTTGTTTTACTCTTGCAAAAGAAAAGTATGCCAGAAAAGAATCATTATAATATTGGTTATCTTTATTCTTTTTATTATACAACTTTTTTTAATTTCATTCTAATCAAATTATTTCTTTTGTAGTCACTGATTCTTTTAGTATTTATTATGGTAAAATGAGCGTGTGCTTGAGTTGCTCAATTACAATTCTTCAATGAGAGATTATTGAGCTGACATGTGTAATTATGGTTTGATGACATCATAATTATAACTAATTTCTAATTAGCTATGTGATTTTTGCCTCCAGATAACCAAATAGTAACGAGCATTTTATATGTAATTACATTAAAGTTGCTGGAACATTTTTCTAGGAAAGCAATAGGTTTTGAACAAATGAGTAATTCCAATTTTTTTTTTATACGTTGTCCTGTAATATGAGATGTTAATATGAATGTTCATGTCTAAATGAAATGAACCGTAATTCAGGTACATCAATAGGAGTTATGTGTTGCACTTTATTCATGCCATCTAGTGTGGAAACGATGAATGGGTTATCGGATATCGTCCCAGGGCCATGGGTGAAGGTATCAAGCCCACTTGGTATTTGGTGTGATGATGCTTCTTTTTTTATTTACACTCAGTGTTATGTATGGTCGATGCTGAATTTCTGTCAATTAGCTCGAAACTTAAGGTAGATTGCTTCAAGCTTCTTATTATAAGTCTTGCATGCTTATGTCCCAACTATCTGCCTCTTCAATTTGGATAAATTCATTTTGTTTCTCAATCATTGCAAGTATACATTATGTTACTGGTGTATGACTATGCACTACTGCTATTAAAACAATATAAAGTTCAGTTAAATACAAAACAAATATAGTGTATCATATTTCAGCCTTTGTAGATTCAATATATACCTAAATTTGAATAGGGGCCTATTGAATGTTATCAGCTACAATAAATAAGATTCTAAATATTGAGAAAGAAAGGTAGATTTTTTATGAAAACTCATGCTAGGTGGAGTTTAATATGCGGGGATGGCTAAAGCCAAATATTTCACTATTCCGAATACACTCTGAAAAAATATTTTTAAATATGAAATTTTGGATACATGGGAAATTACATAAAACACCGTATTTTGATGTTGATCAAATCTAAAACAACACAAACATAAAGATTATTGGTTTCTCTGTGTTGTTTATAACCAGTTGGGATATTGTATGTTTTGATTTTCTTTGTCTGGTGGCTTAAATGTTCTAAATTATTCCTAAATTCAAAACTTTACTATATCAAATATAATGAATTTTGAATGTATTAGTATATTCGATTCGTTATATACATCCCTGCCAGTGAGTCATATTTGCCAGTCCCCACCCATGGCAATCTATAATATGATACTAAAAGCAGCTTTGTAAATCACTTAATAAATATTTGGTAGCTCTTGAAATTCCAATAAATTTTTTCAACTTCCATTTTGAGTGAATCTTATTTACTTCTAAATATGTACTACTTTCCTTATGTAAAAATGAAAAAATCTCCAATTCTTCATTCATTTCATTTGTTTTCAGCTGGTCTACCCTTTCCTAACATGCAAGCTGTAGTGGAAGCTCAGCAGGCTGCTATAACTCAGGCATTTATTAACGCTGCTGTGGCCAATTCAAATAACAATCAACAACATCTTCACCAACATCAGCAGCATCATCAACCTGTTTCGCAACCACACGAGGAGTCAAATGCTCCAAATCAAAGCCATATGGTAGCTTCTAGAACATCGTCCATGACAGATCTCCCAGAAAATGATGTGTAAGTTGGTTTTTGTCCTCAAAAAAAATTATTTCGTTCTATCACAGCATTAATTATATATTAGGATAGTATAGTTCAAATAGTAAAAGCAGTCTTCTCTGATGATGCGAAATGAGAATTTGTTTTAGTATAACCTTCAAACAATAGAGTTTTGTCAATTATTTTACGAATTAGTTTTTTTTTTTTATAAATTTGTATAATCACTCTATAATCAATCAGACATATATTATTATAAAATCCAAGTGTTGAAAAAATATAAAATTATAAAAAAGGGAGTTATATTTTCATTGTTGTTATTCGTTGATAAAATAAAACTAATGATGTTTTACTTTTGCAAGCAACCTATTTCCCACCCACAAAGTATCAGTACCTGTTCATAGCAGTCCAATACCACTACCATGTCATGCAATGCAAGTTGGACAAAACATGGCTGCTGCACCAGTGGGGATCATCATATTTTCGTTGTTGAAATAAAATAAAACCGATGTCTTATCTCTTCCAGCAACCCGTTTCCCACCCACACGGTATCAGTACCGGTTCATAACAATCCAACACCACCATCTTGCCATGCATTGCAAGTTGGACAAAACATGGCTGCTGCACCAGTGGGATCAGCATCCGTTATACAACAGCACAGTCAAATGAATATGGAACCTCAGAGAAGGGCATTGACACAGGTATATCAGCTTTCTCCTATATGATGTAATATGAAACCATATTCACCAAAGTACTTTAATAAAAAGTTAAAGATGTTTATTAAAAACCAAATATATATTATGTTTCCCCTTTTTTCAAGCCCTCATTTTGGTTTGTCAATTGGAGGGATTAACCCAAAATGACGAAACCTGTATAAGCTGTTTTGAGAAAATGAAAAAAAAAAAACTTTTTTTTTGATTACTGGTATGTGGTATTTAACTTAAATTTTTATTGAAATACTAGGAGAATATTGCCTCTACACTATGTTTAGATACTAGGGAGGCATTGTTTTGTTGATGTTGGCTCTTTATAACAAGAAGCCAAATTTTAGGAGAATAGCATAATTTAAATATACCATCTCTTATGTCGATATACAGTTTTCAGTTTTGCCTTCCTTCGTCCATTTATAGGTTTTGCTGAATAAATTTGTTTTTTTTATTATTTTTCGGATTGATTTTGCATATTGCAACTTAATTGTAAACCTGGTTTAAAAATTAAGGTTTTTGTTAATTTGCCACATATCAAGTATTTTCATCACATATATATTATGGCGAAAGAGCGGATATCAGGTTTCGCGATATTTGCATCTTTGCTATTTCCCAAAATTATCTTGAAAATTAATTGGGTCTCTTTTGTTTCTGAGTGAGTGCGTGTGTCCTTGCCTTGACCAAATTTCCTCAAAAAAGAGGAATAAATCGCTTTCTCATGCAGAGAATCATGTCCCCTCACCTGATCAGCTAATCTTGGTTAGCTATTTGAATGTCTAACAAGATTACGTTTATTGACAATTGACATACCATTAGAAAGTATTATTTTCACTTTTATACCGTACTCATGTTGCTATTTTCCTGCATTTTATGGTTGACTGAAATCCTGGTATTTGAATAACAGATATGTTTGGGCAAGGCAAGAGTTGTCGTTGTAAATTGATAGTTCATTTTTTCATGGTTCTCGTATAAACAATAGGAAGCCTAAAATAAAATCAAGTAGATTTAAAACCTCGTTAAAGCCTAAAAGTATGCTGTATTCAAGTTTTTTCTACTCTGGTATGAAATTGATTTTCATTAAATTTTTTAATACTTTAATTATTGGATCAATATGTCAATATCAGAATATGTGATCTTCCCACTTGTTATTGAGTATCTATTGTTTGACGTTTCATCAACTCTATTTCCTAACTTTCTATCTGGAAATACCTGAAATTATTACTAATCCTATTTGAAAGAAGTACATTATATAAGATGGTAATTTATTTGCAAAACAACACCTTTAAAAAAAAAAGCAGACATTGTGTAAACATTTACTGAATATACGGAAGTACTGTCTCAGATTTATTATCCTTATATTTCTATATTTAGACAAGGTATGGTTTTGAAGTTCTTTAGTTGGCTTTGATTCATGTATTTTTATTGATGGTATTGGTTTTTTTCGGCAAGTAAAGGCATTCATATTTCTCCTATGGTTTGGCAATTTGTAACTTTCAACATTAGTTCGGGTATCAAAAATTTTACTTAACAAATGAAAGTTTCAAAATCATAAACTTAAAAGTTTACACTGCTATTATGAATATTTTAATAACCATTTTATTATCATGGTTTTTATCAGTTTAAAAACATTTTAGTTTTTATGATCTATTAATCCATTTTATACTTTTTAGTCAAATTCTATGGATCATCAGCAAAATCACCATAATGTTATGTCTGCAAATCTAGAGAGGAAACCAAGTTTTCCTGGTGAAACATCAGTGATAACACAAGCACCAGCAAATTCATCTACTGCATTGCAAATGAATCCTAACATGTAAGTCGGACTTTACTAACCTCGGTTATAGTCGGTTAGTTCTACAGTTGATCATTGAAATGAAACTTACCTTCATAACTGGCTTAATTATTCAGTATTCTGCCAAATGCTTTCAAACACTATACCTTGAATAACTGGTTGATATAATTTTTTTTTAACTTTGTGGATATTGTAACAAATTTGAGATATATTTACATTTATATAGGGTAGTGATGTTCGCATAGTTTGTCCAAATTAGATACCTATTATTAATCTTAAATAGTGAGGTATTCTGAAACAATGTTGAGAGAGGATAGGGTCATCAATCTGACATTGATTGAACTCGAGCCACCGGTTATTGAATACTTGAAGTGACTCGAATCGTCATCATCTAACTGCCAGTGAGACTAGGTGATTAACTCGACTCGAGAGTTGGATGATCTTGTGACTAGAGACTTCAATCCCCAACAATGTTCTGGAAAATAGTCAGATTTTTTTTTTCAGTAATATGAATTGAAATATATTTTTTATGATGAAATATTTATATGTATAATATTTTTGTAAATTTTTATTGAAATATGAATTATTCTGATTATACGGAAAGCATATTTTTAAATAAAAACATTAGATATTTGTTAATATATAAAGAATTTGAATTTTTTTTGCTACAATTCATGATAAAATCAAGTTAAAATAACTAATGATCAATATCTATTCAATGATGTTATTCATGATTGTATAACTTCACTTCTGAAACTACCTTATCGAAATCTTTGATTTATTTGTCTCATTTTTCAGGAATATGCACAATGCAAATTCTGTGGGATACCAATACAACATGTCTCCTTACACGCACACAGATGTTACGAGGGTTTCGTCTCATCCAGTTCTCACGTTATCACGGTCTGTACCAACCCCACATAACAACAATCAAAACCACTCACAATTACCCCATCAAAACTCTTTGCCGAATATTGATGCGAAACAGGTAAATGGCAATCGACAGTGTTTATTAATAATACAGTGATGGTTGCAAGTCTTTAAATCATGAGTTTTGAGTCGAGTTTGAGCCCCAGTAAATTTTAAACCTTGAATCCCAAATCCTAAAAGATTTTATAAACAACAGAAAAGAAAAAAATTGAGTGATATGGACACTTGAAAACAGTTTTCTAGAGTCTTGGGAGTTGGGAGTCTGAAAAACATTTCAAGCTACTAAAAATTGCGATGTATGATACAGAAAAAAACTTTTTTTTTATATTTTAAAAGGGGGGGGGTCCGACCCTCAAATGGCTACCCCTGCTTAAAAATAACCATATTATGTTAAACCCTACACTTTCATCATACCATGATTTAGTTATGTATTGACAACATTTACACCTCCCATTTTGAATTTTGCTGTAATTAGCTCTCGAATTTTTATTAATCGATGTGGTAAATCATTCACCAGAAATTTTCTATTCAAAAAAAAAACTTAAAATTTTTGCAAGTCTCAAATCTAGTCTCTTTAGTGGTTAGTTGGGTGGGAGTCTAGTCATTTTGTTTTGATGACTCGCTTGGCTCGAAACATTGAAAAAGGCGCCGCAAGTCCTTGAATATTACTATAGAACTTCTTTAATTTTACAGAAATTAAAAGAAACATTGACGAGTAATAATCCAAATTTACAAGTCGAACATTCGAGTATGTCATTTCAAATCAAAGAAGAAGATAGAAGCCAGGTATTGGAAAGCCTATTTGTTTCAAAGAAATTAAAATATTGTTAAGCACTTTTGGAAGTCCTAAACCTGCAAGTGATAGGTTATCCGAGTCACATGTCACATTCGAGTCCGAAATTTATCCAAGTCTCATTAGCGGTTAGATGAGTCTTGAGTTATTTTTTTAATTGAACCGAATCACCTCACATCTCAAATAAATAGTGACTCAAGTTGAGTCAATGATCTCACTAATATTGAGTGCTTAACCCAACCTGATGAGGTAGCATTAGAAATTTCTTATCCTAAGTATGTATGAAATGTAATACCTGATTGACTAGTGATGGCCATGGGGCTTTGAGGGTCTGATACTCCACCCCAGCCCCCCTTTTTTGTATCATTCATAGCAATTTTTAGCAGCTTGAAACGCTCTTTAGACCATCCACATTCTTTTTCGTACCTGGTAGCTGTTGCAGTCTAACTTGGCAATTAGAGATTTTAGAACTTCTTGGGTAATGGGTAATGTTCAACAAGAAACAAATTGGAGTCAATATATATTTAATGAGATTGAATTTAGAAATGCATGAAAGTTGAGATAAACAGTGATTTGATTAGTTCTCTATTTTACAGCATTTGAAATCTACGGAAAATGAAGAACTATTTGGCTATCTGTCAGACGTTAGTTGCTAAAATTGATAATTTTTGAATTGGAACTATATTAAATTATTCCTAAAATGATGAATTTAAGTTATTAAATTCAAGTAATTTTAAAACAATTTTAATTTTTGTTAACATCCCTGGTTGGTCTTCTAGGATTTTAAAAATCATTCAGTTTAAAATAGTTTGCTGCTTTATCGATTGAGTGTCTATGTGAAAAATTCTATAAAAAATGATGTGATGTTTTGTGTTCAACATTTAAATGATTTTTCTGTAATTTAGGAGTATTTCATCACATAGTAATCGGTCATATTTAGACATCTCACTGAGCTTTTTTAAGAAGTAATCAAATATCTCATTAATTTCTACATTTATTTTTTGTGTCTGTATCTTTAGTTAAGACTATTTCGATGGGTTGTTTTTTCAACTTATATATGCGGTGATATAGTGCACATTGACCAAAAAAACGGAACCCAGTCCATTTGGAACATATTGTATGGGTTCCGTTTTTTCTGTCGCCCTGCATTATATCGTCACAGTAAAACCAATGTAGCTCATGTCATATTTTTCAAAAATAACCTTTTTTGATTTTCTATTATTATGGACCAAGTCTTGAGTTTCAAAGCTGTACCTGTTTTAAATTTGGTGGCTATTTGAATGATTTTCTCAAAACATTAAAATGAGGCATAAGCTAATTTGGTTCCACTATGGCAATATTGTAAAAAAAATTTAAAGTTTGTCAAAACGTGATAACTCTATTCATCGTGTAGCAGAATGAAGTATCTTCATCCAGTATCATTGATGGTGGTGTATCAAAAACCGGTAGGAGGAGAGGAAGGCAAACTGCTCTAGATCCTGACCAAAAAAGAATGCGGTTCTTGGAACGAAATCGGGCTGCTGCTAGCAGGTCTGTTAATTTCAAATTAGGTATATATAGTATTGCTATGGGTTTATATATGCCAATATTAAGGGAACTTGGATATTGTGTATTGAACTGCAGGTCCTTTCTCCTTGTTTACTTTCTACTTCTACTTGGTTTATATATGGATATTATATTATCTATATATTATAAATGAGCGAAACACAATTATGAAAGGATGGTAGTCAATGATTTTACAATGGATACTCAAAAATTGGTGTATCATAAGATTGCCACTAATGGATCTTTCAGAAATTAAAATCTAATGTAAAGAAGGTTCCATAATTTTCAAACATTTACCCTTTGTGTCTGTCTTTGGAAGTGTTTCATAATTTTTTGTTGTTCGTGTTCCATGCAGTTCTAGAATGATTGCCAAAATTTAAAAAAAAATATTGCTTTCTCTGCGATACACCTGAATTAATAAGGATTTAAATCTACTGTAGGCAATTTTTAATTAACAATTTTAAACTATTTAGACATAGATTTGTGTCTCTGTCTGATAAGTTTTCTAGTATCTGTTCCATTCCATGTCGATATTCCCCACAGTTTTACACTGATTGCTAAAATTTAAAGAAAAGAATACCGTAGTTTAGTATACTTATCTGGAATACACCAAAATTAAAAAAGGATTAAAAACTCATGTCTGACTTTTTGGATTTAAAGATCATTTCGATTTGATCTTGCATTTGGATTTGAAATGCCTCTCGCTTAATCATATTATCCGCTTTCTCTTTTACAAATCTATACTAATGGAATTTACAATTAAGATCTTGGCGTTGTTGCAACTATCCTAAATTGCTCTAATTGAGTAGACTTCTCTGTGTTGCAAGATGTCAAAGATCGTGAATGAAATGAAAGGAAATTATAAAACTGGTGGCATTTATTGTTGAATCAATATTTTTTCATTGATATATATTTTAGCTTCGTGACAAATTTTGTTCTCGACTTGAAAATTTAAAAAAAACATTTCTATCAGAACTTAACTAATCCTGACTTTTTCATTTTGGCATATATTTTAAATTTGAGATTATATTTATCATAATCAAGTTGTATAATCCTAAATTATGGTGCAGATGCCGTGCGAAGAAAAAACAATGGGTGAATGGACTGGAAAGCAAGGCAAAAGAACTATGCTCATCAAATGTTAACTTACAGGTAAACTGAACAATTGAAAATGTAGTTTTTTGAATTGTAAGATGAATAATGGGGTATAACACATTCTTCTAGCTGGAAAATGGTCACTGTATTTTAATTACTTCGTTTGAATTGCAAATATACCAGATAGTTTAATTTTTTCAAAAACTTAGCTCATATGCATTAAATTTAGACCTCACTCTTTGTAGTTTTTATTATATTACTTAGTGTTATTGTCAATTATTTAAATTTTTCTATTTTGTTATGCATTTAAATTCTTTTTAGATGTTCCCAACATTAGCAGACAAAAAGTTATATTTTTATCACCATAAATAAAACTGATTTTCCACAAGTTTATTCTCGTTGAAGAAATAAATTTTTAAGCAGTCGGTTACTCGACTCGATTTTATGTAACTATTCGGTTTTTAAAATTGTTCACTCATCATAACCCACTCAAATTTCATACTCAGAATGAGGCGTTGGTTTGGGGCCACCAATATTTTATACCCACAAAAATTTGTATGCTCAGTGTCTGATAAAAAAATTATCGCCGCAAATTTTTGTCAATTTTTGTATTATTACAAACTCATCTTGTTATTTCGTGTTCTAAATCTTTTTAGAACGAGGTCGCCAATTTGCGAGAGGAGGTTGCAAAGCTGAAACAACTTCTATTGGCACACAGAGATTGTCCAATCACTCGTATTCAGCAACAGAAACTTGTAAGCGCTGGCGGAGATCCCACAGCTGTTGTTACTAACCCAGCACAGGCTGCTGCAAGCCTTTTAGGCTTATCTCAGGAAGATGGAAATTCAGAGTCAAATGCGTCTGAAGATGTAAAAGGTAAATATCTAGATATTAAGATTGGCCGAGCTTAACCAGTGATGTCAGAAGAATTTAGAAGATTTTATTCAAAAAAAATGTAAACAGCTTATGATACATATTAAATCTATCATTGATATCGCAGTTGTTACATTTACTTGGAAAACAAAAAATTTTATTGCGCAACCAGTTACTTACGAAGCAGACTTTCAACTATTCATATATAGACATTCTAAGTCCATATCTGAATATCTCGATCTTTTGTTACCGGTACATAAAATTTAACATAAATCATATCTGTGACATACAACACACACCTATTTATAATTTTATTTAAATTATTATACATCCAAAAGATATGCGCTATTAATTAAATATTTGTTTCAATATTATTAAATATGTGTATGTAAAATATTTTCATTCAATTTTAATTCACGTCGATGTCTTTAGATGCTGATATGTCCTTCCGGCCACAGAGTTTATATCCCCAGGCAAGATACATGGTCAAAAAAAAATTTTTTTCTTTCGAAACAGGCTTCAATCTGCCTCTGTCTCACACAAATTCAAATGGATCATTGAATGGAGATGACTCGCAGGAAAGTAATGGCTTGCATCAGATGCAACAGCAGCAAACATCAGTTCTTGTTAATCACAGTTTTAAGCAAGAATTATCTCCCGAAGGATATTCTGTTTTACCGCAGGTAAAATTTGATTTTTTTGAATTATAATGGCTTTATTGAGGAGTATTTTCAGCAAAATGCTCTGAACAGGCAGCATATAAGGGGCTCTAAAACTATATCGATAGACCAAAATCATCGTAAAACTACCGTGTTTCCTCGAAAATAAGACCTGGCCTGAAAATAAGACCTAATTTTCATTTTAAAATGATTTAAATTAAACCCTACCCTTAAAATGAATTTAAAATGTTTGGGAGAGGAAATGTTCAATGACCTGAGGTAAAGTGAAGATCGCACCACTTTTCAAGATTGTGTGATGTCACAATCACAATTATGATATTTGCCACTTGATTTTTGTATAGGAAATACAAATAAAAACAATGGATGTCGGTTTTTATATAATGTTTATTAAAAAATCTCGTAATTTTCTACAATGTAATTTTATTTTTGATAAATGAACTCAAAAGACCTCTTCCAAAAAAAAAACCATAGTGTTATTCTTCAAAGAAAATAAATCTAAATCCTGACTAAATTTCAGGGAAACACGGTAAGAAGTGTGTACAGTGCGCAAAACTGCTATGCGTAAAAAAGCCACATGGTCATTTATTGTGTAGCAAATTTTTGTTCCTTTGAGAAGATCGTAAAAAGGAAACTTTAACAGATCAGAATTTAAATTAAATTTAATTTATTTTGTTTTTTCGAAGATTTACGTATTCGAGTCGCCACCGATCCTAATAACCAGTATAATTAATCAAAGCTTTCTACATCTTTTCACGACCTGCTAAGATTCGTTTTGCGACCCACCAGTGGGCCGCGACCCATAGTTTGGGAACCGCTGCTTTAGAGAGATTGATATGCATCATGTTTAAATTTAAAAAAAAAAAATTTGAAATTCTTACAAAGTTATAGATTTTATTCAAGCTGGTATTCAATCATAGTTTGAAGTAATTATTCACCAAATTATTTTCACAAAAGTTGCAAAAAAACATTTGTTTTCTTCATTTCTCAAAACAGTTTCGTTCTACTGGATTAAGGCCTTTGAATTCTCAAGCTAATGATTAAACATGATTCGTCGCCCCTTTTTAAGACTCTCAATACTTATGACCACCTGATCTTCTATACTTAACCCTTTCTGTGCGGTAGGCACGTATACGTACCAACGACAAAAGTCGCTAGATTGCGGCGGGTACGTTGATGTACTCAACTGTTTTATTTAGCAATCGGTCGCAAACTGTTGGTCTAGTTTTTCCGGGTTTTAGTTTATTGATAAGAAGTCTTCTTCGAGATTCACATAAGCGACGGTAAATCTCGCTTTCGTTTACGACGGGAATTTTATTTGCGGCGGAACGAGGGAGTGTTTTTGAAATTTATGCAAATTTCGGTGTTTTTTAGGTGGTAATAGAAGACATATTATCCCTTCCATCTACCAAAGTATTTTGAGTTAGATCACGAATAATAATGCTATTGTTTGCCAACCACGAATCGGTAACAGTAAAGGATTTAGCGAATATTTTTATTTTTTATCCCGGTTTGAAGTTTCAACTCCCAAGAAAAAAAAATGCCTTTTTCTATCCGGTTTGTGACTCAGACCACCACTTTTAAAAAACTTTTTTAATCACCAATTGCAAGCTCTTTAAATAAGCTTTCCAACGAGCCGTCAGTGGGCAGCAGAGGATCATTAGTTTTTCGTTAGTCGATCGATTAGTTGTGGGGGTACAAATGCATAAAATCGGCGTAGCAAATACGATTATTTAATAAAAAATAAAAGTCGCATGGAAAGGGTTAGGTTACCCACCTATGCTTTCAATGATTTTCCGTCAGTTATTTTATGTGCTGTTTTCAAAAATAAGATCAAATCCTTTACAGTCAATTTACTATAAATTAAAGCAGTCATCGTGAATAGTACTCAGTGAAGGGGGCAGAGGGGCCCAGCTTGAGAAATCGGGTCCTCAACGACCATGGTTGATTGCCTCATGTTTTTGTTTTATCCAGTCTACCAACACATCAGCCATCGTCATGAACAGCAATTATGCGGCCAGTTCCTCTTCTTTGTCAAGCACATCATCGACGTGACCTATAACCTTTTAACTTTATGGGATATCAGGAAGTTCACTTGTGAATTGCAGTAACACATAAATTAAGGTGATAAATATGATCAACACGAGAAAGAATTGAGCCAAGTACGATCAGGACTCAAATTCGACCGATTCTCATTTCTCAGTAAATTTTTTCCGTTTTGTTTTTCTGTTGACAAGGAAGTTCAATTTTTCAACTCAAGAGCGACTCACTACCATAGAATAAGACATAGCTTACATACTCATAAGTCTATATGCGACTTTCTGCATTTGAGTGATCTCTTCTGATCTTACTCTGAGCAAACTCGCATAAAAATTATCTATGGCGTTTCTCAACACAATTTTATCCAAAATAGGTTTATTAGAATTATTAGCATAGTTTTGCTAAATATTCTGCTTTTAAACTTTTAACTAGCATATTACACAATGTTTCTATATTCTATATATATAAATATATTTTTCATTGATATTACAAAAATCTAGAAGGAAAAAATAAATCAGAAAAAGATTTTCTGAATACAAATTTTTGCCGAATTGGAGAGGGGTGCTTTTTACTCTATATTATTTTCTTGTATGATTTTAATGAAATTTACTTTTCGAATGTTCCATGCTTTGAGTAAAATTGGGATGTCACACATCCTGTTTATCTTTTTTTTTTTTAATTTGTCTGCGTAATTATATCCCTGACGAATGTTGCAAAACTAAAGTTGCCTTTATTGCCAATTGCTCCTATAAAGTACAAATATTGATGTTTTTCATTGTTAGATTTGTTTGGGGAAATAATACGGAGGCTTTAAGTACCATATAAAAATATGCTTATATTGATATTAAAATATTCTAATTGCGATTATTTTATTAAAGTTGTTCTGTTGTGACAGTTGTGTAGCTATCGGAATGACTACAAATTCTTCTGCACTGCGGTCTATTCTGATTTCAAGTATTCTTAGTGAATCCAGTTCCTACAAATTCTATATGAACTAAAATTGTTATAACATGAGATGTAATTAATTTCTTTTTGCGCTCGGTCATAACTGGTAATGAATATTATATGGAATTCATGATGGTTTGGATTATCCTTTATTATCCTCAGAGACAACCTATCATAATGTTAACGAAATTCACAGGATAAAATTTTTCATTATTGATCTTTCCAGTTTGAATTCTTCAGACGGACTGTGCATTTAATATTCACACATGCTTATATGGATAATTTCAAGTTTACATTCTGAATTCATCATTAAGAGTACAGTGCAGTTACTGTATTTTTTCTAAGTTTCTAGCATTTAAAACTTGGATCCTATCCTTGCTTTCCATCTCATTTGAAGAGGGTGGTACAATGGACATTTGACTACAATGTTTCTAAATTAGGTGATTTTCAGCATTATCCTTTTTTATTCAACTATTTTTGAACAATTTTGTTTCGAGACTGACATACATCGACCATCTTGGTGTTTTATTTTGTCTTTGTCCATTTTCAAACCATGTTACCTTGAACCGTTTATTGCAATTTGGGCATTGTTTTATTCAGTTTTCTCACCCATTATGTATTGTTGTTTATTTCGAACAACACTACAACTCTGGGTTATTTATTTTTTTTAAATAATATGATAGAATATATTACTTGTTTCTGCGTATTACAAATTTATTATTGGATTGATATCAAATAGGTATAAGGGCATCATTATATCTCTTGGTTTAAGATTTTACAATTTCCGTATTTTTTGCACAAAATATCTGAAACACTTAATCATCAAGTGTCCTTAATTTTATTTAATTGTAATTTTCACTTTTTATCAATATTGTGCTGTTGTTTGGATAACGTAGTTGAATTTGTCATTTTTTAATGCTTTTTTTAATAAATTTTACCCAAATTCAACGCTAAATGTTGATTCGTTTGTTTGTAACTAAATTTGTTCTGCAAATATGTCCTAAATGCACATAATCAAAGATTAAGATATAGAAGTTATGACATACGAAAGACTATTTTTCAGAATCCAGATTATGGAATTGTTATTTTTTTTTCTCAGTAATGATTTATATCAGTATTTTTTTTGAAAAAATAAATTCCGAATTCTTCGGATTACTCATGAATTTGTCCTGTAGTCGCCCAGAAAACTAAAATCTCAAATTGCTGAATACAAAATTATTCAACCTAAAATAGCACTAAATATCAAAATCATGCTTTTGCCAACATTTAAGAACGGAGTAAACGTTTCTTTACTAACATCAATGGTCATACCCAACATTTTAGAAATATATTTGTGTTAGTCTGCAACAAGACTGACCATTGAATCACTTAAAATCATGAATATGTTGCAAAATTGAACTACCCGTATATAATATTTTAGGTCGTAAACAAAAATTCTCTGTCTCTGAGATATTTAGTTTCCTCAAAATCCTCAGATAGCCTGGCAACGAAACTTGCCAAGTTGTGCTAAAAAAAAATTAATGATTATAATAAATGTCTTAAAAAATAATGATGTTATGTACATGAACAATGTTCCATGTTTATATTACGATATTTTACACATTTTTATGTTACTATAAAAATTTTTTCATTTTGTGCATATGGCGGGTTCTACTTTTTACCAAATTAACTGCTTGATTATAATAATTTTTCTGTTGTGTTATTTCCAAGAGAAAATGAAATTTTGTTTTTTTCCCTTTTTCTATTATTATTTTTCTCCAAATTTGCTACACTATTGTTATATTTCTATAAATTTCTTACTTTTCTTTTCTCTCTTTCTTTCTCGTAATAATACTTTTTAATCGGCATGTGGTACATATTATGTAAAATATTGTAGTAACACTCTCATATTGTAGAAATAAACTACAAGCTTGTATACTTCTGTTTTGTCTGTATGCGAGATAGCTTTGAGGCGCCCATTCAGGCATACACATATCTAATATGGCTCTACTTTCAAAATTGGTATTTTCTCAACTGCATATGATAGCCAACTGTTGCATTATAGGCTTGTTTTGCACGTGTTTCCAGCCACCAGCGCCTTCGCTGCTCCAACTGATTTCTCAAACGTTTCAACTTAACTGTATTTCTCGTCTGCAACAAATGCCGGTTGGAAATGATAATGCCAGCGTATACACCTCCGGCAGGTGAAACGTACCCGATTAAAATTCACGGTATAGCGAGTACATAAGGATAGCAATGTTTCAACCACCTATTGGTAATAGTGTATGACTGTATGTTATTGGGTTTTCGCCTAAACCAAAGTTTTGCTCGTCTCTGTTTTATCGTTCTTGGTTAGTCGGAAATTTGGTTTAATCTCATACTTGCGTTAAAAAATGCCGCTGTGCGAGACTTAATTCAGAAATCAGTTAACAGATGGTCATTTGCAAGTTGTTGGATGGTCTGGCCCTCAGATTCACCCTAATTTAACGTTTTGGCACAACGTGATAAAAAGTTGCACAACCCTTGTTCATACACTGAAATTTCTCGATTGTGTCCACTGCTCACAAAGAATTATCTCGGCCTTGAACGCACACCCTGCCTTTGTCATCACAAATAGCCAGTCGATGGCGATGATTCATTTTGTGGATGCCATGCACGACATAAGAATGAGTACGCTATGAATTCTCAACTTTTTGTCATATCTCCCAATCATAGACGTAGAAAAATGTTGCATTAACCTTTTTTATTTATCGCATGAAAGCAAAAATGGTATATATAGTATATATTTAAAATCTAAAAAGCAATCAAGTTTACACAAAGTAAATGGTATTCCGATTTTCTTTTGCGGTGACGATATTCTTGTCAGATATTCATTGCAGTATCTTCTTATTCTTTATTTTAACTGGATGCACTTTGAGTAATACCCAGAGCAAACATATAAGGATATTATCGGTGGCTATCGCCATCATTTCATTGATATTGCAGTATATGAAACATGCATAAAATATATATATATATCAATTGTTTTTTGTCGTATCGCATTAAAAATAATTCTATTACAATCATAATTAAAAAATACAAACCGCCATGATTGAAAGGAATATAGTTCTACATTCACTAGAAAAAAAAATTGATGATTTCAAGTAATTAGCGTTCGTGTATCTGTTTACGTGGACGCGACGCTAAAGAATTTAATTTGAATGAATCGAGAGCAGCTCCTAGTATTGCAGATGGTTTTGCAACAAACCAACATTCAACCTTCTTGTGAAGATAAGGTACCATCATTGAGGTCTTGGTTACAGGAGTCACTTGGTCTCTGAAGGCAAATTTAGAAAGTAAATAAAACTTTCGACTCGTTTTGATTGCGAAATATCAGTCCACCAGTTCATATCTTGCGTTTTTGGTGATCGAAATACCGGAATTTGAGAAAGGAACACTCACCTGTACCATAAATATGTTTTGGATCCAGAAGTTTCAATACTTGCTACATTCTCTTCGCCAGTTAATTGCTTGCGAGGAAATCTTCCAAACACTCCCCCAACATCTGGTGACAGCATTTCAGTTCCAGAAATCATTAAATCCAAATGAGCAACGTCTTTAGATTGGTGCGTTGCAGAAGTATGATGCAAATTGACCTGGAATGATATGAACGCCGTTATCCTCAACCATCCAGTCTCGTGTTAATTTACGTCCATTTTTGAAATCATAAGAAAGCACCGAACGTGACGCTAACGCCTGGTCATCGGTCTTGTTTTTATTTGTTTGCTTGATATTTTGAATAGATTATAAAAATACTGTTCAAAAACACATTTGTAATAATTCTGTTTTAACCAATTTTAGTTTATAGAAATCAAGCATGTATATATAGGGATGTTTGATCTTTTCTCTGAGATCAATTCAATGGACCTTTCCCCGACCTTTGACCCCCGGAAAAATCTTCCTATACTTTACTATTGCAAAATTTTCAGCGCTATTTTAGGAGTGATTTTGCGAGTTGGCGCCTGTAAAATGGGGTATGTGTTTCAAACCATCATTATGATTCAACGCACATAACAATCTGTTTTTTAAAAGTACCGGTAAAGATTTTCAGGCTAGTCTATCACAGCTATTTCTACACTAATTTTTATTACTGCAATTAAATTAAAATTCCTAAAGAGACAAAGTGATCATTAAATTATCTGATTTTTATTTAAGTTTCCGAAACACAACTGAAAACTAACGAATAGAGTTCAAAAACGCAAAAACGAGGTAATGTTTACAACCACGCTCGAAAATCTGTCTGAGTGAGAAAAGTGTCTGAGCGGATGCAAAAAGGGAACATTGTTACGTCATTTTTTGCATCTTGCTGATTGGCCAATATCACGAAGTAAACAAGGAAGTCGATGCTCGGGGAATGGTCCATAGAGACAGGGATTGTCTCCGCAATGGTGATGTACGCTAATCGAGGAAATGATATGATAATAAATACAGCTTTCCTTGATTCAAGCATCAATTCAAAAACATATTCTGAGTCATTATTTGCCAGAATATAAATTTCCGACCAATGCAGATTATTTGAGCTTGAGGAGAATATATTTTCGGTAGGATTTAATCTAAATAACTATGTCCTGAAACTTACAATGAAACTGATGTTTTCAGCTACAGTGACGTTGAGAATTGTATGCGCGACGGTAACGTTACTAATTCTGAAGATGACGTGACCATATACTGCTTGATAACTTGCAACATTGACCATCGGCAACTTCAAATCTCTCTTTCTTTTGTTTCCACTTGAATTGTCACGGACAATTGTTTCTCTAGCATTTATCTGACAAGCAAAACATCAAACTTTTATTTCTTGATAAATACAATAACCCCATTGGGGTGCCAAGTGCAAAATGGGAATCTTGTGGATAAGAAATGCAGAAAACAGAGAATCGTCAACAAAATAGTCTAACAAATAGACGGTTAATCATTACATTTCCAAAAGACATAATATAACAGTCAGTTGAATTGAACACAGATGGAAAGTAGCCAACACCACTTATGAGTGAAGTTGCATAAAAATGTCCGGTGTTAGTGCAAAATCATAGCACTGACATTACATTCTCACCGTTATAGCCAAATGTTCTTTTTTTAGTAAGATGACGAGCTTGGTAATGAAAATTGCATAAGTTTTCTTCGATACTGAGTCAGGTCCATCTACCATCCCGTTAATAACGATGTCGTGTTTCGGGTCGTGTAACAAATTGAAAACCTTCAAAATAAGTACAATATTTTTGTGTCCAAGTTCAATGAATTCATTTTTAGATATGAAAGGCTTGTTGCAAAAACAGTTACCTGTTGAAATTAATAACATTAACATATTTTATTCAATATAACAGAAAGAATAGAAGCAGTTGATAACTGTAGTATCATGCCCTTAGAATTCTGAATAACAAATTAAATTTCATGCTTTGAGATTTTTTACACTGACTGTAAGTTTTTTCCTATGTCAAAACTGTAATACCTCTCCACTTTCTCCGAGCCAGTTGAAGCAAGTCGTAATAGAATCACTTAGATGTATAATGAAATGCGGATCACCCTGTACTTGCCACCACGGAACACTGCAAAATAATGACAGACCCGTGAGGTGCAAAGGTAGATGTCTTGTTCGATCAAAAGCTCAAAGATCCTTATATCTGATTTGTCTCAAATTCTATATTCAAACTATGCGGTACTGCACTAATGAACGAAGTATAATCTAGGTAAAATAATCGAATATATTTATTTGATTCAAATATTTGTATATATATATATATATATATATATATATTGTACATAATGCATGGCAATGCTAAACTCACGTTGTGGCAACAGGACTTCGGGTAGCTGCTGGTCTGGGCGCGGGAGTTGTTGAAATATCCTGTTTTGCGTGCTTATTCTCTCCCTCCGCAATTTTGTTTTCAATATCTTTTTTGTCTTCTGGTTTGATGACGAGCATTGAAGTGACAGGAGTTACGAGTCCAGCACTAAAGACGTTACAATGGGACAACATGTTATGTAGGTTTTTCAGGTATTCAATTCGAAAAATGCTGTTTTGTATTTCAACTTTTTACTTCAAGGAATTTGTACTCAGACGGATCAGTCTATTTGCATCGCATATGCAATATTAAATACAGCAAGAATATGTTTTTTGATTGTTCAGTGAATTCTTGGCTCTGAAGTTCACTCGATGTGTTAAACGTTGAGTACAGCATGAGTGAATATTCATGGAGGTTTGAATCTTATAAAAGGCGACATAGGCGAATGAGGGCGCCCTCGTAAACCTTGGATAACTTCAACAGCGAAGTAGGCTAAGTCTGTATAAAGATTTTTTGAGATATCGCTAGATATGGGTGGCAGCTTTTATCTAGCATTGCTTGGAGAAAAAGGCACGAGTAAGCATCGTATTACGTCATAATACAAAAATAAAATTATTCGCTTACGTGATTGATTTATTTATTGCTAATTCTTTAATTTCTTCTTTCAAGATATCATCAGTTTCTGCGTCATATTGGCGAAGAGTTTCAACAACCTGTAAATGCAAATTATTTTTTATAGTCAATTTTTCTCAAATCACAATAACCATACATTACTACAAATTATGGTATATGATATTTGTATTGAAGACTTACATCAGTTAGAGCAAACGATTTCATTCCAAAATCTTTAACAACGTTGGAGGGAACGGCTCTACAACCAGGAGGCTTTTCATCCAGAAAAAATTGTGCTTGAAGAACTACGTCGCCCTCGGCATTACCTTAAAAATTATAACTCAATAATAGGTGCGACCCAAATGCTTGGAATAACAATAAACCGTACTAAATCGTTGATTTATATAGGGTAAGCTGGACTGGATTTATTCCTACGGTCTAGCTCTAGAATAAATAGATAGCACTTATACCTGTTATTTGGATGACATGTGGCCCTCGATTTCTAGGATCGATGTTTTCTTTGAATCTACCTAAAGCCATAAGTTCACCGCCAGCAAGAAAAGAATCTTTGTTATGAACAATGAATTCGTCAACGATATCTTCGGGGTAGTCAATGACGATATCTTTCAGTAGCGAAACACTCAGTTCGTCAAGATAGTTCTGTATCTGAAATTATCACAGAGAATTACTGGCTTCAGGGGGTAAGATCAGAACCGCAATTTGTAATATATATAGCTTATTACTTTTCATACACACGTACGTGTGACGGTTAATAATTGGACACGTAGTGGACATAACGATCGTTTCAAAATTTTGTTGTTATTGTTGTTATTTGTTTCCGTCAACACGTTTTGAAGAAATCGCTTTTCTCTACAAATACTGGACCAATTGCTTTGAAATTTTCAGTGGTTAAAGGTAAAAATTTTCTCCAGGAGGCTATTACTTTTTTTTTCGCTATGACGCCATCAAAATTGTGTGACTCTACGTGTCCATATATTTGAGCATAGCTCTCTTGTTATATTTTCAACTCGTCCGTTATGTTTTAATACCCATACAAATAAAAACATGCTACAGATCATACATTCTTAAATTGACATACCTGAAGTGCCGCATTGAGGTCCGCAAGGATCTGTGTCCACGTTCCATTATTTTTAGCAGCAAGAGATTTTAAAAACCCTGCGTCAACTCCAGATCCAATGCCGATAGCGTGAATTGAAAAACTGTGAACATTTTAGTTGTATATAATAATCCAACTTTATACTATAGTTGTTGTTTGAGTTGTTTTGAGTTTGAATCGAACATCAAAGCTAAACACGGGATTGCCTTTGACGAACTTAAAGACGAGTTGATGGAGTAATATTAAACTAGGCCTCTTTCTAATGAAAACGCGAGAAATTGGGGGGCGTTTCTGCTTTGTACCCTTATCTATGTACCGAACTCAAGATCTTTCATGACGATCTTAGCATAATCTGGACAACATGCCACGCCATCGCTTTGAAAGAGTTGATATTTACAATATATTTCTTACTTTCTAGTGTTTGCAGAGTCTACGTTTTGCAGAATTCCAGAGGGATCTGTTATCACACCTGACGTAGGTTGTCCATCAGTCACAAAAACAATATAATTTGATAATCGATCGACTGTAACGTTTCCCACATCTGTAAAAAGCAATGGATGTCTGAAGTGTAAACTGCAAAGTGAGGTTTTAGTCACACTTAAACAAACTTAAATATTCCCCGTCACAGTCATGGAACATCCGAGTTCGAAATAGAGTTACCATTTATTAATACCTCGAGCACTAACCGACACTGCTTAATAAATATTTGGAAATTTTAATTCAATTTTAACTAAAATTGCAAATTGGGTTTGTATATATCTAATCCCAAAAATACCGTAACATTACTTTGATATACGGCATGGCTATCAAACCACTTACCAATATTTAACATTTCAAGTGATTTTTTCAATGCGCCATGGATATCGGTTCCTCCCCCAGCTATCAGATTTCGAATGAAACTTTTTGAGTCTTCGATGTTCGTCCTAGATCCACTTTGCAAGCGGTTTGTTCCTTTCCACGTGGTGACGCCGCTTGAAAAAGTGACAATAGAAAACCTATCCTGCAATTAGTATATATATTTTTATGTTATAAATCTTAGTTTTTGGTTGAAAAAAGTTTCTTCGAAAGAACATTTGTGACAAGTCAGTATATTAATTGAGTTTGATACACATGGTACTATGAATATATACTTGATAACCGATTCAAACTTGCGATCACTCTTAAATTATTAGTGACAAACTGCAGTTCATGAACAACTTTTTAGCATGATGTACGTGACAGATAAATAGATGTTTATTCATCACCCGGTCATCAGTCAACAATCAAACATAAAACACAAAAATAACTCAGAAAAACGACTAGTAGCGGAATTGATAGGAGGTCGGAATCACCATAAGGTCACTAAATCAAAGAATTTTCCCGGATGATGCACTTGACTTCAACACGTGTTAAAATTTATACTTACTTCCTCGGTGAGTTTATCAACAATATTGATCATAGCTTCCTTCAATTGTGATATTTTGTATCCTGACATCGAACCAGATGTATCTAATGCGAAAACCACACGTCGTGGTTCAATTTTTATTGCCGGTGCATAGAAGTAAGCAAAAAATCTGAAAAGCAAAAAATGAAAATTGAATTCAAATCGGTCAATTTTCTTAGTAAATGCCAACTATGTACGGTGGGCCAAAATCAACTCATCTTCAAGATTTACATACCCATTATTCAGTACAATTTGTCCCGCGTCAGGAGTTGGTTCAAGTTCATATTCGACGACAAAACTTCCTCCGCTAGATGCCAAGGCTTTTGTTGCTTCATGATTATCTCCTTGCAAGTATTCGACGTGTGCTGAATTTCTGGAATGCAACATTGGAGATAAAAAATATCTCGAAAAATTTCACCTAATTATTTATCGATCTTAAGATCGGTAAGTATGTTGATAGGTATTTGTCTGTTTGTGTGTTTGTCTGTCAGACACCTTCGTATGTTACGCGATATCTCACGAAAGCGAAGATGAATTCCCTCCAAATTTCGCATGTGGATTCATCATATCTCGGAACAGAAGCCTATTGATTTTGGATGAATTATGTGGTATAATTAGCGAGTTATTAATTAATTAGGGATGGGACACACGGAAGTTGCTGTGGAGTAAGAGCGGATGAATCGACATCGCAGTTTCTGTTTTGGGGGATCCCCTAACTTTCGATCGATAAGTCTTCGATCTCTGACCGACATTCTCGTTTTTATTTTGTACGTAACAAAAATGTTATGTTATATTTTATGTAACTTATTTTCACGATTACTTTGACAATCTGCTCCATCTTTCGAACTGTTAAAATTGTTGCAGATTCCTATCTTAGAACATGTATGTAATCAGAGCAATATTTCATAATTTAGTTGTTACCACTTAAATTCATTTAGATATTCTAATGTGAATTGTTAAAGTGGTTATTTAGGGTCGTAGCTACAGCTAATACACATATCGAGAATATCAATTTCAAAATTATGGAAGTATGTGCTGGATTCGAATGATTTCAAATTATTACCTTTGTTTGTCTACAACTGTCTTTACGGTTACGTTCTTTCCGTCACTTGATAGAATCGGAGGGACGTTGATAGTTTTTATTGGTTGTTTCTCACATATATATACTTCGATCTTCAATAAATCTGTTAGTTGGGAACCAAGTAGGATGATTTGGTGTTTGTACCTTTGCAAAAATAAAACATAGAACTGTTTTGTAAGGAATATGACATTTCAACCTACAGTGGCGTTTTAAAGTATATGAGATGAAAATTAATCTTCGTCTTATACGAGTTAATAATACAAGATGTTTTATTTATTCATTTGTGAGGAATTCGCCAGGATAAATATCAAAGTACTCTTTACAACAAATGTTTCCTGTGATATTAAGTCTGCCGGGTATAACAAAACACGAATGACAAGTAAATATTATACAGTTTGATTTATTTTGTTGGAAGTGTTTACTTTGGTATACAGATATATTAATCACTATCTGCATAATCGCAACACTGATGAAATTTTACATACTTCCCTCTGATCCTCCTTATTAATTGTTGGTAAACAAGACGAAATTCTACCATCTCTCCAGCTTCGATGTTTACGCTTGTTTTGAATGTTTTAGTCGATTCTTTTCTAGTTGAAACAAGACCTGCCGTCTTATTAAGTTCCTGAAATTATTTATTCGTATTTATATTGAGTTTGTTTCCATTGTCATTTCATGGTTATTTTTAGTGAGAAGACACATAAATTGTTTCAGTGGTTTTCAAAAAATTTTACAACCAATGGATTGGTAAAAATTATGCGACAAAAAAAAAGATAAAAAAGACTGAAACAACTTTTTTATCCAACTCATTTTTTTAATCGGCACTGCAATATTAAAACCAGGCTCCCCGCTTATTTTACATAATATAACTTATTGTTGGCTTATCCATCGCTTAGTAATGAAAGTCATGTCCGCTTGGTTATGAAAAGCATAATTTTGGTTGGTTTTCTCAGGAAATACTATACATTTGACAATCTCTTATTACCAACCATTTTATGATTAAAATTCAGTTCAATGACAGGGCATTGTCGCCTGCAGGCCATCATTCATTATATAACGTCACGATAAATCGTGACAATTTTGACGAAAATGATTAATTCAAATTTTTAAGCGGGATTTCGATTTAGTCTTGTCGAGATAACTATTTGTTTATAACAAAAATACCCAGCAAATTTCCAACTTTTGGCCATGGATAATTATGGATAAATTACTAGGGAGTTATATATACTGTATATATATTTCATCGGAACGACGACAAATAATGAAATCAGAAATTAAGCATTCAGAACAGATGGTCTAACTTCAGCAACAGATCTATCTATCTATACCTATGGCCTATACTCAAGAAAACATGTAAAAAAAATCATCGGTGCACGTAATTCTGTGCCAGCCCATGACGTGGAGAAGCAATTGATCATCCATCAACTTGCATAAACAAGCTTTAGTAATTGCTTTCTTGAAATATGTCGCTGCTTTTTCGCAGGGTTATGTCGCAAAATCACTTTCTGCCAGATTAGTCTATCAAAGACTATAATTTGATAGTAATTAACCAAATTAAGTGCTAGTTAATTGTCATTACGTCTGACCAAAATACCCTTCAATACGCAAACCTCTGAAAAATGAAAGATGTTATTATCAATTTGGTATAATTTCCTTGCCAAATTAGGTCACAGCACTGAACAACAATGAATTTACTATTGACTCGTTGAGTCTCTCAAAGACAGAGTAAAATAACAACTATATATAACTGGCTAGTGTTTATTATTAAAATTTCTTGAATTGACTAATCAAATAATATAAAATGAATAGTATGAATTTTCTCGTAAGCCAAAAATTTTGAATATTATTTTTTTTTTATATTTTAATGTTTGATTCTAGTTGACGTATTGGCAAATTAATCGACTGAAGACGATATCTCCCAAATTTACTAATACAATGACGACTTGAAATAACAAAAAAGTCAGCATAGTAACAGTTCTTGTATATTCATTTCAATTAGTTTTGCAAGGTTAATTTATCATTGGACATACAGTGAGAATGGGATTGCGGTGACATAATCGGTTGAATTTTTACATTTTTTTTTTAGTTCATGTTCCAATTTACATAATACTATAAAAACACAAAAGCTAATTTTTCTGCGAATGTTCTGTTAAATATATGGAATTTTACACGAATATTGGAAACCCATAGCATGAATTGAAATGAGTAATATCATGCATGACCCATGAATAAGGATCACTCACATAGTCAAAGTCAGACGTAACGTTAAGAATGAGAAATGTTCATATTTTACGAGTCGGGTAGATTTCAATGATTGTATTTACCTTTGCCGCCTGAAACGCTTTTTCTGCCTTTACTTTTTCCTCGACAATTGCATCATATGTTTTCCCGTCTATTATCATTGAAAATCCAGAGATGAATGCTTCTTTTGGTAACAGGACTTGAAAGTTGATCTGTAACAGAAATACATTTTTAGTACAGTATTGAGGTTTGTTTTTAATGAAACAGCATTTGAAAGCAAAAATATTACTTCTTGACTTCTGGTCTTGTCGTTCCTAACTTGACTTGAAATTGTTGTTTCGGCAAATCTAGCAGTGATAACGGTTTTCACATCAAACGATTCTAAAAACAACAAGTAATAAACAAATAACTATGATTTTTATAAAACAATGTCGAGTGTCTGATCTGATCTATTGACAAAAGATCATAGGTATTGATGCGATTCTGATTATATGTATTAGAATTCGTCATAAACTATTGACAAATACACACAGATAATTCACTTGTATTTATTTAACTTTAAACTTGTATTTTGTATTATATCCTTTGCATTGACTTTTTACAATCCGATAACATTCAATTAAAATAATAGGTTCACATACTACAAATTTTATTGTATTTTTACCTAACTATAATTAAATCAGTCAAATATTTGATTACAAACTTCGTTACATTTCTTTGAAAACTTACCTGTTTGAGATGCATCCGCCTTCCAAACGCAGAAACACGATGCTGAAAAAATGATTAATGTGTGAGTAATTAAAAATTAGCTTCAGTGTTGTGATTAACTTTAAGTTCATTTTACCGGCATTATGAGGTGTTTCATGCATTTATGCCACACAACGATCTAAAATTGTGCATGCAGATTAATGTGGAAGCACTTGTGGAACACTTCAAGCGAGGTGGGTGAATCACAATAGATTTAATGCCGATTGCGAAATTAAGTGCAAATTTTATGTTGAACAACCATAGGTCGAAAACGTATAATAATAACATTGTTAGTCCAAGGCTCCAAGCACGAAGCTATTGTGACGTGTTTTAGTCTATCTTTTTAGTTTATAAATTGAAAAGTAGGTTGAAATAGAGTTCACTACGAAGTAAAATAAACTTACCCAAAACCGCCACGATAGCAATCTCCTTTAACAGCATGTTACCGACTATTTCACTAACTGCAATATGTTGTAATACTGGAAAATGCAGAGGGGTTTTAATATGAACATTACCGTGTTTATTTCCATTGCCCGCAAAAATTGTCTGTCCTCAAATGTGCGAATAATTGTAGGAATCATATAGCGAAGGACTGGTCTGGTCAGGTGGTAACTTGAAAGCTGCGTCACAATGCAAGTGCCGTTAACATTGCATTTTGGATGGAAAAGGACGAAAGTGTCGAGTCGCGACCTATGGATTGGTATAGAAGACCCATTCACGTTTATATATATTCATAACAAAGCGCGAATATACCTCTATTTCCAACCTTTCTATTTATGCATCATTGAGAGAACTATTTCGTGGAGTTTTATTGTTATCATTTATTACTAAAGACTACGGGTAAAGCATGAAAATAAATATAATCAATAAATGCACAAACCCTAACCGAGCACATTTTGATCCCAAAGCTGGCGTTAAAACTAACATTTAAAAAATTCTCAGTTTTCAGCAAATCCTGACCCTAACTAGATTTTGAAACCTGCTTTGTAACGTAATTTTGTTAGCTACATGAACAATATTAAATATTATACTAATTTGTCTCATTGGAAACAACTAACTTTGATTAGACGTAAAATGAGTGGTTATTACTAATAAACCGTTATTATTGAAATAATTGCGCAAAGTAATAATGAATGTATTGAGGTTTCTGACAGCGTTCTTATTTTGCCAAGTAGGCCTCAGCATCACATATTCACGTTGAGATTATTCGTACTGAATCACATGGGTTATTTTTTTGTCTTATGCCTAAGCCAAACAATCCATGGTCAATACCAACCTACCTAGTCTACGAAGGCTGTGTGATTTGTCTTCGAAATCTATTCATTTTATAGAGACGAAGGCATAATATGTGGTCTCTCATTTTTCGATGTCGCATTGTCTGGAGTAAAAATGCCGGCAGCACCATCGATTAATTAATATTTATGTCTTGTTGCAATGTCGTCATCGCCGCCTTAGAACTCGTAACAATTGTTGTATTTGATTCCTCTTGTATTTCTGGACGAAAAAAACAAATTAAATCCACCTTGCTTCATCACAATACTTTTCGATATGTTGTCATTGGTTTCATTCTCAGCAATTAATCATATATAACCATGCAACAATAAAAATATGCCGACCTCGTTTGTACATCAAAATCGTCGCATCTTATCAGGAGACTTAATATGGCCAAATAATTGCAATCAATAAATTGTATCAGCACCCGAAAAGTTCTATTTCACACTTTATACTAGAGAGTTTATTTTGATGTAAGTTATCTGGGCAAAAAATAGTTTGTAGCATAAAAAGAATTTCAAACCATTTGAAATGTTTGTAAAAATTCACTCTTAATATTCATTAGGTCATTAGAAAAGACGATATCTCAAATGTTGCGACAACAATCCGTATGCCTCCTTTTTCTCGTATAAAACTTAAATGAATCATTTATTGTTCTTATTTGTATGGAAGCGAAAATTACTATGATTAGCGATGTCATATAAATGCCTAAAGATATTTCCTATTCGATTTTATACCTTAACAAACAACGGTACTATTTCGCCCTCAAGTTTAGTTTCTGAAGACTCGTTCTGATGATATCAGACTATTTACACCATTGTATTGCCAAATACGCGCCCTTGGTCGTAATTTAACCCCTATTACCGACTTTTGAAATTCTAGAATTTCGATTCTAACCACCGATTTCAGCGAATTCAACGCCAAATTGTGAGTTCGCGTCCCTAAACCAAAGCCCGTTGACATTTTAGAGTAAAAATGTCAATGGACCTATTGTATCACTACGTAGACATCTTTCCCATGTTGTCATTATAACTATTATTACTCTATCGCTATTTAAATTTTTAATTTCCTTTAATGCACATAATTCCGAAACTGTCTCATTTCATTTAAAACTAAAAATCGTTAACTTTATATTTATATAATATATCATCATCGGAAATTTTCTAATTCGCATTCCGGATTTTGAAGCGCAAACATTTTTACAAATTTGTTCATTTGTTGGGAAAAACAAAAGAGGATAAAAATTAAAATCAATGAATATATCTTTTTACCAAAATCTTCTGACCTAGCACTATACTCCACGCTCTAACATGCTTGAGTAGAACCTAAACGATAAATAAAAAGTAGGTTTAATGTTTAAACTTAACGTGTAAACGCTGGCAAGAATTTTCGGGACACTCCATAATAATTATTTTATTTTCTTTCAGTTGCATTCTTTTTTCTCAGGTAACATAATATTAGGGTGACCGTTGTTCTGTAATTATGTTCCACGTCATTTCACCTTGTATTTCACAATATAGTAAGGTTTCGATTTTGGCAGAAAATTACGTAAACAGACCCAGTAAATTATGCCGAAAAAAAAACCTTTATTACACAGGAACTATGGCAAAAGAATTCATGATTTAGAAAAGATAAACTGATAGCCAAGCGGAGTGCATTACTTACGCCCATGACACTTTCATGTATGTGGCGAATAACGGCAAGCTCCGCTTACAGTTGCACAATGAGAGTTCAAGCATAAAACAGCTGTTAGAAAAGAAGCATCTTGGCGAAAGAGACCGACTATTGTTTTGCGCCTGGAACTCAAAATGGAGAAAATGTTGCTGTCGCTGGAGCTACCGAGTGATCTGACCAAGTGTAGACAAATGTTGATTAAGATATCCACAATATTGAGACGACCACGTCTATAGAGGACTTGCACGGGTCACGTGACCTTGTTACTGGACGGCAATAAAACAAAAACGTCCATTTGGCTCCTGTCAGTTGCAAGTCGGATTATACGTTTCCGTCTTGTTTGGCTGTTGAAAATGGTTATTTCGTATTGTTCCGCTGGCTGTACGTATAGTATAGACAACGAAATGGATCTTCAGCTATATTCCACTGTTTTCAAAAGATCCGGAACGTCGCGCAATGTGGATATCATCTATTGGCAGGACTGCTTGGTGTCAAGTCCAGAAGCCATCTTACTTGTGTTTCACTGTTTGCGGACAGCACTTCGTTGATGGTGAGTCATGATGTGCCGTTATCAATTTTTTTAAATATTCATAAGCTCCCTCATTTCAATGGAAAGCAGATAACAAACTACTGTTATTGGGAGGCTTAGGCGTAGGCCTACTTGCAGACTTGACTCGTGTAAGGTATTAATCAATAATTGCCATAAGGTGTTGTTTCCCTAGTTAGCAGGTAATCTATTAGTAAGTGTGAAAATTTGAATAGATAACTAAAGTTTAACGCCGGTGCAAATGCAAAAAATAACCAGAATTCAATTGAATTCTCTATCTGAGAATACGCTCGCCACCACATCTCTGATCCCCCTGGGAGTTTCACAGGTTCCAATCCCATGCGGGGATAGTTATGTGCGAGGGGATTGCAGCTCTCCTCCCACTAAGGGTGGTTCACACGACCGCTGGTCGATTACGACATCCCCCACCATCAAGTCCATGCTTCTAAAACAAATGGCTAACTAATCCCGACATAGAATGGTAATCGTACGATGTTGCACCTTGCAATCTGTCCCCAACCACAGATAAATTCTATCCTAAAAACTAACCACATTGGTAGGCATAGTTGCGTTTTAAATTGAAAGAAATCTTCATTAATGGTCAGAAGGTGTTGACTGATTGTTTTGTTAGTTAGCAGGTAATTTATTACTGATCTGATACACAAACTTGGCACTGTCAAATGATGATTAGTGTTTAATTTATTTTCAGGAAAAAGGGAAGATAACCCATTATCAGCTGCTTACATGTCCCATCGATATTTGAATTTTCGCCATCCCCAGAGAAGAAGAGAATAGTTAAAAAAAGGAGGATTTTGAAGAAAGGCAAAAGGCAGGACCATTTCAACAAATTCTGATAACTTGTATGCGTTGCAATATTAATTCGCAGTTGTTAGCATAAACATTTAATGTGTCTTTCGACTAGACCTACCACACTTTAAAAAAAAGCCGCCTACACCCCTTTTCACTAGAACCATAATACTGTAAAATATTTGATAGAAATTACCCCCGAGGCATCATCTTTCATTTGAAGGGCTGTGCAGGCAGATACATTTTTTACTCTAAATTATGGAATGTTACTTCCAGGTTATCTTATCCTTGCTCATAGATATCTTGAGGTTAGTGACTCCAACTGACCCATGCATGCCACACTGAAAATTCTCTTGTGTACCCATAAAATAAGGCTGTTGGAGCCTTCAGACCTTGAAAACAGTCAAATCTGAGCACGATGGATTCATGTGAAACACGTAATATGCATTTAGAGGCAAAAATATCCCATCCTGAGCAGCACCGATCCACAACCTCCTGCCTATGGAATCAAAACATTAGACAAATTGGTGTACTGTGCGCATTCACAAATTTTTACGAATCAAGTGTGCCTTTTGACTAAAGAAAATTTAGCATTGAAATGGTCAATCTCAATATCAACGTAGTATCTGCAGATAAAACCAATTGTTTTTTAAAAATACATTTTTGATGTGCTTTATTTTTCAAATATAATTTATAATTACTGTTAAGTGTGTGATACATTTGGTACCATGAATACTATTTGCAAATTAGCTTGGGTTATACCCCTCTCAAATAAAAGTTTAGACTCTTAAGTCGAATCTAGTAATATTCTTTAAACAAAAGGTTGCGGCTAGCTGGCTACCCATTAGAATTTCCTTTCAGATCACAAAGTCGCAATGTTACGCCTCGCTTAAGTTTCATTGGCAACTGTATCTGGTTGTAGTATCGGTGTCCAACGTTAGACTGAAACCTTCACGACCAGACCCACCGAAACAATTTTTTTTATTGATAGGGTCGTCTTGAAGTTGATTTCGTTAAAGCACAATGGACACTTTATCTCCACCAATCCACAATAATGACAATTGACAAGTTACTTTGTCATTACGATAAGCATCAATAAATGGATACTGAGGATGTATTATCAAGTCACGCAAGCTGAGGTCTTGTGCCACTGTGGTCTTGTTGCAACTTATACTTTGCCATCCATCTATTCCATGGTCGCACCCATATCTGTAAGATAATGGATACAGATAAGAGTTTTCATAAAATCTAACGATCAAGGAGTGTGAAATTTATGTCCATATCCCACCACAGCCACTAGTCGTAAATGAATTTGATTCCGGGTAGCATATCTTTTTTACCAATGACAATAACAAGACATTTTGAATCAGTTGTACAAGCACCATTAGGATAGGATTTATCTGGGGGGGAGCCAGTTATTTGTTTTCAGAAGCATGGACTTGGATGGTGGGGAATGGTCGTAACCGATCAGCGGTCATGTGAACCACCCTCGGTGGGAGTGGAGCTGCAATCCTCTAGCACATAACTATCCCCGCATGGGATTGAAACCTGTGAAACTACCAGGGTGATCAGAGATGCGGTGGCGAGCGTATTCCTAGATGGCGAATTCAATTGAATTCTGGTTATTTTTTGCATGACCCCTGGTGTTAAACGTTAGTTATATATTCAACCTTTCACACTTAGTAAAAGATTACCTGCTAATTAGGGAAACAATACCTTACAGCAATTGATTATTAATTCCTTACTGTCTTACACAAGTCTGCAACTGCAAGTAGGCCCACGCCTAGGCCTACTAATAACAGTAGTTGATTATTAGATTAATTCCTTACTGTCTTACACAAGTCAAGTCTGCAACTAGGCCTACTAATAACAGTAGTTGATTATTAGATTATTGATTATTACCCTAATTCCTTACTGTCTTACACAAGTCAAGTCTGCAACTGCAAGTAGGCCCACGCCTAGGCCTACTGATAACAGTAGTTTGTCATCTGCTTTCCATTGAAATGAGGGAGCTTGTGAATATTTAAAAAAAATTGATAACGGCACACTATCACTCACCATCAACGAAGTGCTGTCCGCAAACAGTGAAACACAAGTAAGATGGCTTCTGGACTTGACACCAAGCAGTTCTGGCAATAGATGATATCCACATTGCGCGACGTTCAGGATCTTTTGAAATCAGTGGAATAACTAACTAGTCTATCAACAGAACAACGAAATAACCATTTCCAACAGCCAAACAAAACGCAAACGTATAATCCGACTTGCAACTGACAGGAGCCAAATGGACGTTTTTGTTTTATTGCCGTCCAGTAACAATGTCACGTGACCCGTGCAAGTCCTCTATAACTCTGTTTTATTTTGTATGTCAATATTTATTCTTACCACTTGAGTCACTAGTGAGCAGCTGTGTAACTTTCCCTTTCTGCTGGTCTGTCAGACTGCCGGTAGTGTAG